GAGAAGGAGACAGATAAATGGAGAGGGAGATACGTATCTCAGAGAGAGGGAGAGACACATGCGGAATAGATCACATACCTGGGAGGGAGACTTCCCGACGATCCAGCAACCCTTGCGGTGATGGTGATGGCGATGGGGATTTCAGCTATAGAGAAGAGGGAAACAGTGTATAATCGATTATATATGGGATTAAGGTTGTGCATATATGATTTGTGTGTGTATATATGTATGTATATATATATATATATATATGCATGTATGTGTGTAAACAGCGAGAGAGAGAAAGAGGGAAACCGAGAGGCCATACAGAGAATGAGACATGAATGGAGAAGGAGAGAGAGAGAGAGAGAGAGGGGACATACCTGGGAGGGAGACAAAGTGATGATCCACAAGCCTTGTGGTGATGGCGATGGAGACAGAGCAGTGACAGAGGCGAGAGTGCGAGAGGGAGGGAAATGGAGTTCTATTGCAATAAAAATAAAACAAAAAAATATTTTTTCCTGACAAAATTTTATTTTTGTCGCTAAAATATTTATGTAAAATTAAATATTCCCCCCATAATTTCATGCCTCGTTTTGGCTACTGAATTACAGTCGGTAAACCTAAACCATTTAGCGACCAAAATTTAAATAGTCGCCAAAACCCTTGTTTTGCACGACTAACACACAAGTAGTAGCCAAAAAATACATAAATACCAATAAAACAAATTTACAATTTGTAAAGACTGTGCAATTAGCCACCAAAATCATATTTAGTCGTCCAAAATGTCACGTTTTAATGACTAACAAATAATTAGTCGCCAAAAGACACTCAATTCCGACAACACATGTTTTTAGTAGCAAAATATTAGACTTTTACCGACCAAAAAGGTTTAGTGGCTAATGCATGTACCTTCGGCGACCAAATATTATTTGGTAGCTAATGTCTTTACTATTGGTGACTAACAAATTTTTAGTAGCTAATTGGTATACCTTTGGCAACTAAACTTAGTTTAGTCGACAAAAGTAGTCGCCGAAGCTATTCTTTCTTGTAGCTACCATCTGCATGTTAAAATGTTTATATGTAGAGGTTAGTGTATTGGGTTATTTTGAGTTGTTTTCATAGAATTTTTGGGATTTTTGTATGTGTGGTTGGGTGTTTTATTGGGTTATGCTGCATATGATTGTCCTTATGTTTAAAAAAAAAAATAAAGTTATGATAGACTGGTCTATGTAACTATTCTTTTGTTTTATTGGGTTAGTATCAAATTAGCATTAAATGATGAAAAATGTTAAGAATTTTAAATGTTCTACCGAATGTGGTGTGGGACCATATCAGGTAGGTCCTATGTAGATCCCACGTCCATATAAAATATTTGATAAAATATTTAATAAAATATTTGGGTTCCTAGTATTGCTTCTTATCATGGAATTCAAAGTTTTCGTAATTGACTCCATGTACAACCGAAAGGTAGTAAGGGGAAATTATTCAATACTCCCGGAGCACCACGTGTCTATACTCCAAACCAATCACTAATTAATTAGTCCCATGTTGTTCTCCCATCCCCAACATAAATCGTGGGCCCTTGTGTCTCTTCACCAATCAAAACCTTATGGAGCACCACGTGTCCATGCTCCGAGAGTACTGAATAATCACTCAGTAGTAAGTATTGGGTAGTTACCATAGAAAAGTCCGCCTAAAGGCTTATTGTGCTGTGGGAATTCTTGAATCTTCATTTTATAAATTGACTAAATAATGAGAAAAACAGATAAAATTCATTTATAGCATTTTTGCTACTCTTTTGTCTCAATGGGCTGGTATTAAATTAGCGTGCTTGTATTAAATTAGCATTAAATGATTGTGGAATTCAAAGTTTTGTAATTCACTTTCTTGAATCAAGATTCTCTCATTAACTTTTCTCCTTAACTTTCTATTTGTTGGGTTATTGGACTCATTTTTAGGCCCAATTTCGATGATCTAAACTGTTCACATTTTAAGATTTGTTGAGTATATCACACCTGTAAAAAATAAAATTGATCGGATATCAGAAAGCATGTGTTTAAATCATCGAACTAAAAATTATTTTTAAAAAAAATTAATAAACAGTTTTCTGAACATATGCTTTCTGATATCCAATCAACTTGATTTTTTACAGGTATAATATACTCAACAAATCTTAAAATGTAAACGATTCAGATCATTAAAATTGGGCTTAAAGTGGGTCCAATAGCCCAGCAAATAGGAAGTTAAGGAGAAAAGTGAAGGAGAGGATGATGATTCCCCAACTACAACTCAAAGGTAGCAAGTATTGGGTAGTTACCATAGAAAAGTCTGACTGAAGACTTTGTGCTGTAGGAGTTCTTGAATCTTCATTTATAAATTGACTAAATAATGGGAAAAACAGATAAAATTCATGAAATTAGCAAACTTTAGACCATCAATGGAAGGCCTCAAAATACCCTTCTTGTTTTTCTCTTTATTTTCCGTTTTAATAATCTCCAACGCAGTAGACACCATAACCAAAACTCAATCCATAACAGGCAATAATACCATTGTTTCATCTGGTGGGAGCTTTGAGATGGGTTTTTTCAGACCTGGCAATTCCCAGAATCAATACCTGGGAATATGGAACAAGAAAATATCTGTCAAGACTATTGTATGGATTGCCAACAGAGAAATCCCACTCAGCAATTCGTCAGGCGTCTTAACGATTATCGACCCTGGAATTCTCACCCTCATCTTTTCTGTTGCAAAATCCTCTTTGGTACCTGGCATGAAACGCCATGAACTTTGAATGCTTAGTAAATGCACACACATCCTGTCCCTTTTTCACAATCTAATACACAATAGGAGAAAGAAACATGATATTCAAGTAAATAACAAAGGTTATATGGTTAGTTGCTAGTAGTCTAGAAATCCCCTAAAGAGTTTCATCCTCCCAACCACGAGAATCAAATACGGATTATTTGGCATGCCCCCTCGTTTGCTACTTTGCAGACCTTACCTGGGATTCCTACCAACTGTTACATAACATGTAGCGCCAACCGATGACCTCAAAAGAGACGGTAAAATAGAGCCTTGCCCATTCCCTTATCACACAAAAATCACCTAGGGTCCGAATACAACTGCTTCGTTCAAGGGTTTTGAAACAACCACTTGCGTAAGACTTTAAATATGTTTATATTAGACCATATTAAAAATATGAGAAATTATATAAAAAAGTTCACGATTTGACTCTTATAATAAAATATATTTTTTAATTTCATCAATTTAAATATTAATATTTGGATTTATTTTTAATTTAAACCATTCATTTATTTTTGTCAAGTAAAATCGATGAAAAAAGAATATTTAACCTATTAAACTCAATATAAGTGTACATAAAATATTTAAAATATTATTTTTGTTAAATTTAATGATTTAAATAATCTTTTTTTTTTTATTGATGAAGCAAATTATTTAAATTAAAAATAAATTAACAAATTAGGATTTAATTTAACAAAATGAAAATTCAAAATTTTTTTGTTGCAAGTGTTAAGCTGAAGATTTATTTATTTATTTATTTTGTAATTTCCTTTTAAAAAAATTAAAAATTAGGAAAAAAATTTTTAAAATAAAAAATAAGTCAAATTTTATGCTTCTAAAATCTGGGGGAAAAAAAGTATGTTTATTCTTGTTTTACTGAATTTTTAAAATTTGTAACAACATAATTTAGAACAACCTACAAAAAAAACAAAAAAAAAGAAGTGGAAGTTCATCAAAAATAAACTAACTACAAGTAACTAACTACAAGTAATAAGTTGCCGCAAAAATAAACTAACTTGGAATTTAGGGTTTAATCTTTCTCTCTCTCGCCCGTTTGTGAATCAAAATTTGAAACCTGGGACGTTGATGTGGTAGCCTAGCGTTGTGTTGCAATGGTTGAAATCGGAGTACGAGGAAGGACTGAACATCAATTCTTTGCCATGCCGACCATCTGTTTGTTAAAATGTTTATATGTAGAGGTTAGTGTATTGGGTTATTTTGAGTTGTTTTCATAGAATTTTTGGGATTTTTGTATGTGGTTGGGTGTTTTATTGGGTTATGCTGCATATGATTGTCCTTGTGTTTAAAAAAAAAATAAAGTTATGATCGACTGGTCTGTGTAACTACTCTTGTCTTATTGGCTTGTATCAAATTAGCATTAAATGATAAAAATGTTAAGGATTTCAAATGTTCTACCAAATGTGGTGTGTGACTATATTATGTAAGTCATCCCACACTCATATAAAATATTTGATAAAATATTTAATAAAATATTTAGAATCCTAGCATAGCTCCTTATCGTGAAATTCAAAGTTTTCGTAATTGACTCGATGTACAACCGAAAGGTAGCAAGTATTGGGTAGTTGCCAAAGAAAAGTCCGACTGAAGACTTATTGTGCTGTAGGAGTTCTTAAATCTTCATTTATAAATTGACTAAATAATGAGAAAAACAGATAAAATTCATTTTAGATGGCTTAGCATTTTTGCTACTCTTTTGTCTCAATGGGCTTGTATTAAATTAGCATTAAATGATTGTGGAATTCAAAGTTTTGTAATTGACTTTCTTGAATCAAGATTCTTTCATTGACTTTCCTCCTTAATTTTCTATTTGCAAGGTTATTGGACTCACTTTTAGGCCCAATTTCGAAAATATAAATCGTTCATATTTTAAGATTTATTGAGTATATCATACCTGTAAAAAATAAAATTGATCAGATATGCATGTGTTCAGATCATCAAACTAAAAATTATTTTTTAAAAAAATTAATAAACAGTTTTCCGAACATATGCTTTTTGATATCCAATCAACTTAATTTTTTACAGGTATAATATACTCAACAAATCTTACAATGTGAACGGTTTGAATCATCAAAATTGAGCCTAAAGGTAGATCCAATAACCCAACAAATAGGAAGTCAATGAGAAAAGTGAAGGAGAGGATGATGATTCCCCAACTACAACTCAAAGGTTGCTAGTATTGGGTAGTTGCCATAGAAAAGTCCGACTGAAGACTTTGTGCTGTAGGAGTTCTTGAATCTTCATTTATAAATTGACTAAATAATGGGAAAAACAGATAAAATTCATGAAATTAGCAAACTTTAGACCATCAATGGAAGGCCTCAAAATACCCTTCTTGTTTTCCTCTTTATTTTCCATTTTAGTAATCTCCAACGCAGTAGACACCATAACCAAAACTCAATCCATAACAGGCAACAATACCATTGTTTCATCTGGTGGGAGCTTTGAGATGGGTTTTTTCAGACCTGGCAAATCCCAGAATCAATACCTGGGAATATGGTACAACAAAATATCTGTCAAGACTGTTGTATGGGTTGCCAATAGAGAAATCCCACTCATTAATTCGTCAGGCGTCTTAACGATTATCGACCCTGGAATTCTCGTCCTCGTCAATGGTACCGGCACTGTCATTTGGTCTGTCAATGTGACAGGATCCACACAGAAGCCTATTGCACAACTTATGGACTCTGGAAATCTAGTTCTGAAAGATGCCAATGATAAGTCCGATAATTTTCTTTGGCAAAGTTTTGATTATCCATGTGATACTCATTTACCAGGCATGAAGCTTGGAAAGAACTTTGAAACAGGCCTAGAGCGCCACCTCTCCTCCTGGAAGAGCCGCGATGATCCAGCTCGGGGTGAGTTTACATACCGTTGTGATCCTCAAGGATACCCACAAAATATTCTGAGCAGTGGTTCTGTTGACTTGTTCCGAACTGGGCCATGGAATGGAATTGGATTCAGTGGGAGACCAAACCTCAAACCTAATCCGTTCTACAAATATGGATTGGTTTACTCTAAGGAGGAGGTGTATTATCATTATGAACTCCCCAGCCCAGTTGTTTCAAAGTATGATGTGAGTTATGATGGCATTGTGCGGCGCTGGATATGGGTTGATCAAAAGCAGAAATGGGACGTGTACCAGTCTTTCCCACAAGATAACTGTGATACTTATAAACTGTGTGGTCCGAATGGTAACTGTAACATTGGAAACTCACCGGCATGCGGTTGTTTGAGTAAATTTGTGCCCCGGAACGAAACGGAATGGAGAAATGGAGATTATTCTAATGGGTGTGTTCGGAGCACACCGTTGAATTGCAGTAACGGAGATGGGTTTCTCAAGTATTCGCGATATAAAATGCCACACACACGGAACTCCTAGTTTGATAGGAACATGACCCTAAGGGAATGCGAGATGGAGTGCTTTAAAAATTGCTCTTGTACGGCTTACACAAATTTAGACATAAGAGATGGAAGCGGCTTCTTGCTTTGGTTTAATGAGTTGATTGATATGAGAGAGTTCAGTCAAGATGGGCCAGACATTCACATAAGGATGGCATCCTTTGAGTTAGGTAAGAATTTATACCAAACTCATAGACTATTGAACATAGATTAATTAGATTAACATATGTAAGAACCATGTCGTTAACTATACTGAACATTTACATTTCTTAAAAAATTCCTCACTCTATTACATTTTTACATCTAACTACAATTTAGAAAAAAGAGTTCATTTTGGTTTCATCTTGAACCTTAATTTCTTGAATTTGATACGGATGATGCTTATTACCCATCTCGATCCACATGCCTGGCGTTGTAAGTTGTGTTTAGAGGAAGGATTTGATGGAGATTTGTGGAGGAAATAATAGGGAAGAGATGAGTGAAAAAAACTTAGCTTATGTTTCATTTAATTTTTCCTTCATTTTACCTTTCTCTTCACAAAATTTCATCAAATTCTTGATCTCCGTTTGGGAAGTGGGTTGGTTTTTTGACTTTTTTGGCTATTTTAGCCTGGGCTAAAAAGTTTGGTTTGGGAAGGGCTTTTTGACTTTTTGGCTTTTTTGATTTTTTTTGTGAGAGAAGAGTGTAATGATTATGGGTTGGATGTGATGTTTTGTTTGTTGTGGCTAAAATAGCCTATTTTGTCTTTTGTAGCTATTTTAGCCACAAACCAACTTGCCAAACAGTGTCACTTGAAACTCAATTGAACTAGTTAACTTTAAAAAAAATGCATTGGTTTAAAAAAATTACGAATGGCAAATTTCTTTGTCAATATAAGAATAGCAGTAAAAAAAGGTCCAATCAGCCGCCATCTTCATCTTTACCAACACCTTTACTATTTAGTTTTTGCATTACAAAACTCCCTTTTTTTTCAACATAAGTGTTAAGTCTCAAAATAAATTGTCAAAATCTTATCATCATCAAACAATTGAACTTATATTGTTGAGATGTTTTTCTATTATATTTTTATCTTTATGTCTATCTTATATAAAATTATAGAAAGATATGCTTATAGAAATTTCAAAACTATCAATTATAAAATTCTTCCTTAACTTGACTATTACAAAAAAGATTAAGTTAATTAGCCATATTATCAAGTGCAAAGAATAGACTAATAAAATTTGAATGTAAGATAATAATTGTTAGTAATTTTGCATCTGAAAAAGAGAGAAAATAAACTTTAAATAAAAAATTACAAATAATGTTGAAACTTTTTAAAAACCTCATTTAAAATTGTCTCCTTTGACCTCCAATTATCTCGAGCCAACATGAATGGTGAAAATACTTTCTTCTAGTTTGGTCCCCCTCAAATCAAAATCTTTGCTCTTCTCCTGTAAGCTCGTAAGTTCTTGTGTGCTTGTGTGTTTGTTTTGTTTTATCTTTTCTCATCCTTTTTGCCATAACAATTTCAATATAAAAGAGGGTGTTCAAGGGTTTGAAATCTAAAGAAATCCAAGCAAGTTCGTGCTTTCATGATTGTACTATCTAACTGATCAATTGACCATTTCTGTTAAATGGATGAAGGATTCAACAGTCTGACAAGTCGGCTCCAATGGCAAGAAAAGAGAGATAGTGGCAGTGACCTTGGCATTTTTAATTGGATTTCTTCTACTGGGCATAAGCCTGATCGTGTATCTCCGAAAAATGAAAAGGAAGAATTCACAGGTGAACAAAGAAGGTATATATCCATATGTGTCATTCTATGTTAAACTATGTACTGGTATGTTACGTTTTTGGAACTACTTGTCATATTGATATCCATTTTGAAAAATCTAGAAATTCCCTAGATGTTGATTTATGATTATGTATCAATTTTAAGCAGTAAACAACAATCCCAATCAAACAATCAAGACAAATCGACACATCGATTTTACGTGGAAAAACCACAATTGGAGCACCTCCAATTGTGATAAAAAAATCACGGGCAACAGCCATAAAACAATCTACTAAGAAGATATAAAGGAATTACACAGGTATACTCTCAATTACATAGCGAACCCACGCCCGAATTGAACAAACCCCTATGTACCTCTTCTAACCCCATCTTCACCTCGGAATTGTCTTGATGATGAGCCACTCCAAAATCCACAAAAGCTTCAGGCTCGAATTCTTCAGAATCCACCGAAGAACAACTCACTCTTTTGTGTAAAATAAACAAGTAATCCCTTGATGTATACTCTTTAAACCATAAGTTGAATACTCAATCAAAACATCAAAGAAAACCAGCAAAATATCCCCAGATAGAAACCTTAATATCCAAAAAGAAGATCTGAAGGAGTAATCCTAAAATCTGACAGAAACCCGTACTTATAGAAATCTGGAACTGCGAGCCTCGCTCAAGCGAAGACTCTCTCGCTCGAGCGAGGAACCAAAAACGCGTGTTTTCCATAAGTGGCTTCGCTCGAGCGCACATTCATCTCTTTCAGGTTTTTAGCCAGACGCGGTCTTCGCTCGAGCGAGAACTCCTTCGCTCGAGCGAGCAAGGGCAGACAGGCAACTTCAAATGCAATTTTGCATTTTGCTTCGGGGGCGCTGCCCCTTGACCCCGCCGTGGCGCTGCCCCAAACCCGCCAAGGGACGCTACCCCCTCAACCCCCGCGAGCTGACCGGGCAGCTCGATCCCCGTCATAATCAGCGAAGTGGCAATCTTGAAAGTATTAACATCACAAACTTCTCTGCAAGACACAATTCAGGTTGGATTCGCATCTAAAAACTCATAGCCGCACTGAAATAAAAAGTGCGAAAACAAATACAACTTAAAGGAGTTTTGTCAAACGGGGTTGCCAAGAATAAAAATCTAACAATCTCCCATTTTGGCAATGCCGTGATAAAACACACTTAACAAATAAAATCCTAATCACCCCAACCCATTACAGCCAACAAAAACAAACTTCTTTCTCGAGGTCACGATCTGCAAAACAGCTATTAGTGCCACAATCTCTAAAACAACTATTGCTCCCACAAGAGTATATGAAAAAGCAATAAACATATGACAAGACTATCTTGGAGCATGAGATAGAAAACATGAATAGATGCGACTTGGAGATTTTAAAAACATGTAGCATAAATAGATGAAAACTAAGACACATGCACCCGACCGACCCATGGCATGAAAACTTGAAATCCAAGGACATATGACATTACTCCCCCTTTTTGTCATGAATTGACAAAGACAGCTCAAACAACAAAAGCAAGAGCATAAACAACACAAGCAATGTAAATAACAATAGCATGCAGGAAGGAAACAATAAAGAGGCCAATGCAAAGAAACATGCAAAACAACTAATGCCAAACTCCCTTACCAAACCAATTCAAGATGAACCAAACTCCCTCACATTAAAAGCAACCACAAATACTGAAAACAATGAACAAGAAGAAAAAGACAAAAGATAATATGGTGGAGCAAGCAAGAAATCTCAGATTTGTACCTTAGAACACACAAGATTATCCAAGAAGCATAATTACTTGAAACCACAATGTGCACATCCTCTAGAAGATTCCTCATAACAGAAAGTGATGCATTATGTGAAAAGCATAGATCCCATGATAAAATTGTGTGTGTGACTCTTGGAGTTCGACAAACATTAGATTCAAATCCTAGTAGTGATCAGATAGATGAACCTCCGTCAAGAGAATCTAAGCACAACTACGGAAAGTCAAACCACTAGGAATCAAGGGGTATTTGGTGAGTAAAGGCAGAGGCTCCCCCTCAAATGAATCCTTTTTTTTTTCTTTTCTTTTTTTTTCACATCTTTTTCTTTTCTTTCTTTTGCACATCTTTTTTTTTCTTTGTTTCTTTCTTTTGCACGTTTTTTCTTTCTTTTGCACACTCATTGGCGGCTGACACGCTCAAGAGTATGGAAACCGAACCAGAGAAGCATGGATATAATAAGGATGGCCTGGTTGGTGACTCTGAGGTAGCCTTTTCCTCATGCCTGGACTACAAAGAATAGAGGGGAAAGCTGTGGAGATGCAAAAAAAATGGAAGGTGGTTTAAGAAACTCAACATCACCCATGATATGCTAGTATAGGTCAATTCCTCTAGAAAAGAAAAAGATACAATGCCAGAAGTCTATAGAAAAAAATAATCAATAAGGCGGAAGACTCCGATATTTGCTAATCCAAGAGTGTGTACAAAATGAGACATACTAATCAAAAAAAACACACTCCAAAATGAGTAATGACCATAGAAAGCACACACCTATTAACATGTAATGGATATTCTCATCAATTCCAATATGCACCAATGACCACTCAAAAATTTTAAGCTTGCAAAACTATACTAAGAAAATCTTTTTGGATTTTTTTTTATTTTTTTTTCTTAACCAAAGCAAGACAAAAAACGAAGAAGCACACATTTTTTTTCTCAATAAAAAAAAACACACAGAAACCCAAAAACTAAAACAAATAAACAAATTAACACAAGTCAAGTTTTCTCACCTAAATCGCTTTAGTATAAACAAAGTTGTGAGCATTGCGGTTCTTGGGTGGTGTCTTGACGTTGTGGTTCCCTTTGCTTTCAATGAGAACCCGTCTCGACTTGGTTTCCAATTTCCTATTTCTAGGTCTAGGCAAATACAAACTCGCTCCATGTTTGGTCTCAAGCTGATCAAAATAACGAGGTCTAATATGACCCTTAACCTCATTACTACTAATGAAATGTCTCCTACCCCACGAGATGTTGGAATTTCTTCCATCTCTATGAGACACTCTCCCATGTAACTTATGACAATAAGGGCGAATATGACCATGCATACCACAATGATGACAAATAAAAACAGGGTGTACAGGGTGTACCTTCTTTTCTTTTACCTTACCAACTCTAGAAAGTTTGAGAAGTCCATCCTTATGTTGAATTTTTTGTTCTCCCTTTCCTTGAGTTCTTGTATCATGAGATGTAGATGCACTCTGTTTTTGCTCTTTGTTATCACCAAAGCCAATGCCACTTTTGTCACAACACATTTGTTAAGACCCAATGATATCCTCCAAAGTCTTTGATCCTTTGTTCCAAAGACCAATGGTAGCCATAGCACACTTGAGCTCTTCTTCTTTCTTGATCATTAGTTCTTCCAAGGCAACTTGAGACATCTCGAGAGATTTAATCTTTTCTTCATACATTGCATAGATTTGCTGTAGCTCATTCTGCTCTGTCTCACAAGTCAAGAGTTTTGCACAAAGAGCTTGTTGATCATTAGAAATCTTAAGGGCATCATTCCTAGCCTCGGAAATCTCCTCCTTTAGTTTGACATTCTCACTTTCACATGCTTTGAGTTTCATAGTGAGTTTGTCATTCAATTTGGATAAGTTAAGAGATTCCATATACAACATTTCATAAGCTTGCTCAAGCTCTTCATCATCACTCTCTGAGGATTCATCATCAGTGGCATTCTTAACCGACCTATTCGGATACTCTGTTCGCCCTTCAGTTTCGAAAGCTGCCATGAAAGCAAGGAATTGTTTATGTCCCTCTTCGCCTTGATCTTCGTTGTCACTTTCATCCTCATCAGATTCTGATTCATCATCCGAAGTGATAGCGAGGGCTTTCTTCTTCTTCAAACGAGTGGGGCATTCTGAAGCAAAGTGGCCAAATCCTTGGCATTCATAGCATTGAACTCTTTCAGAGTTCCCTTGTATCTTTCCTTTCTCCTTCTTGGCTATAGAATTAATTTTGAGTTTATCTTTGCCTTTAGATTTATGAGTATGAGTAGATTCCAAAAGATTAGGATTTTTTTTCAAAAAACATTTTTTAAATTGTTTAACAAAAGCAGCCGTAATCTTGGAATTTATCTCACAATCCTCATCAGAATCCTCTCCAACTCTATGAGCACTACTAAAAGCAATAGCATCTTTTTGTTTCTTTTTGAAATTCCTATGTGCCTCATAAGTTTGGAGATTTCTGACCAAATGATCTAACTTGAGATTGTCAACATCTTGAGCCTCCTCAATAGCCGTAACTTTTGGTTGGAACCGATCAGGCAAAGATCTCAAAATTTTTCCCATAACTTTGGATTCTGGTATTTTTTTCACCTAAATTGAAGCTGGAATTTACAATGTCACTCAACTTCGCATAAAATTCATCAAAGGTCTCATTATCTTTCATTGAAAGGTTTTCGAAACTAGATGTGAGCCTTTGAAGTTTTGAGCGTTTCACAAAATGAGTGCCCTCATGAATAGTTTGTAAGATATCCCAAGCCTCTTTTGCGACTTCACAATTACAAATACGACTAAATTCTTCAGGTGTGACAGCGCAAAAGAGAGAATTAATAGCTTTACTATTCCAGCTACTATTTTGGTAATCAATTGTGTCCCACTTATCAATTAGTTTGGGGAAGGTTACTCCATCAACGGTAATCGTTGGTTCAGCCCACCCATACATGACAGATTGCCAAACTTTTTCATCAATAGATTTTAAAAACAATCTCATCCGAGCTTTCCAAAACAAATAATTGGATCCGTCAAGTAGGGGTGGTCGAACCATATAATTTCCCTCATGAATTGAATCCATTATCACAAATCAAACAAAATCTCGTTCTAAATGATTTATTTTTTTAAAACAAAATAGAACGACCCGCTCTGATACCAATTGAAAAATCTAGAAATCCCCTAGATGTTGATTTGTGATTATATATCTATTTTAAGCAGTAAACAACAATCCCAATCAAACAATCAAGACAAATCGACACATCGATTTTACGTAGAAAAACCACAATTAGAGCACCTCCAATTGTGATAAAAAAAATCACGGGCAACAGCCACAAAACAATCCACTAAGGAGATATAAAGGAATTACACAGGTATACTCTCAATTACCTAGCGAACCCACGCCCGAATTGAACCAACCTCTATGTGCCTCTTCCAACCTCATCTTCACCTCAGAATTGTCTTGACGATGAGCCACTTCAGAATCCACCAAAGCTTCAGGATCGAATTCTTCAGAATCCACCTAAGAACAACTCTTTTTTTTTGTGTAGAACAAACAAATAATCCTTTGATGTATACTCTTTAAACCATGAGTTGAATACTCAATCAAAACATCAAAGAAAACTAGCAAAATATCCCTAGATATAAACCTTAATATCCAAAAAGAAGATCTGAAGGAGTAATCCTAAAATCTGACAGAAACCCGTACTTATAGAAATCTGGAACTGCGAGGCTCGCTCGAGCGAAGACTCTCTTGCTCGAGCGAGGAACCAAAAACGTGTGTTTTCCATAAGTGGCTTCGCTCGAGCGCACATTCATCTCTTTTAGGTTTTTAGCCAGACGCAGTCTTCGCTTGAGTGAGAACTCCTTCGTTCAAGCGAGAAAGGGCAGACAGGCAACTTCGAATGTAATTTTACATTTTGCTTCGAGGGCGCTACCCCTCGACCCCGCCGTGGCGCTGCCTCGAACCCGCCAAGGGGCGCTACCCCCTCGACCCCCGCGAGCTGACCGAGCAGCTTGATCCCCGTCATAATCAGCGAAGTGGCAATCTTGAAAGTATTAACATCACAAACTTCTCTGCAAGGCACAATTCGGATTGGATTCGCATCTAAAAACTCATAGCCTCACTGAAATAAAAAGTGCGAAAACAAATACAACTTAAAGAAGTTTTGTCAAACGGGGTTGCCAAGAATAAAAATCTAACACATTTTGTCCCGGCTTTACAAGAATTCTAATGCACAACTTTGAACAAGGTTACACCGACAAAAGCCAAAAGGAAGATCTAGAGTTACCATTGTTCGACTTAGGTGTAATAGCTAATTCCACACATAACTTTTCAATCAACAATAAGGTAGGAGAGGGTGGATTCGGACCTATTTACAAGGTAACAATGTAAAGACACTCTTATATAGTCTATACGAATGTGATCGATGCCCAATCTCATGGAGCCTATGCAGAAGCCATAAAATTATTCAACTTTTTTATCACTGCTTTTCCGTAATAATAATATTATTAAAAAAAGTTAGCCAAAAAATAAATAAATAAAAGAATCACAAAAATGTTCATAGAATGTAACAATTTCTTGGTAAGTTCATGTACTTACTGTTCTGTAAAACCTTTTCATACAAAACTACCATTTTGAATGTAATTTTTTTTTTTTTTATAAATACACCTACTTTTGAAAAGAGGCATTTTATATTTTTCTTTTAGCTTTCAAGGAAGACAATTGGTATGATGCTACTTTTCTTACATATGAAACATCATAAATCTCTATAATTAAATCACTAGTCATGGTTGCACCTATTGGAACAATGTTAGCCAGAGCAACATAAAAATAGGAATCGAGACGAATAAGTGTTTTTTTTAAGTTAATTCTAATAGAAGAGCATTCTATCAATTATAATTGTAATTCTCAGGGTATACTGGAAGGAGGACAAGAAATAGCCATGAAGCGGTTATCAAAGAATTCTAGCCAAGGACTTGATGAGTTCAAGAATGAAGTTATCTGTATTGCCAAACTTCAACACCGAAATCTCCTGAAGCTTCTAGGATGCTGCATTCAAGGAGAAGAAACAATATTAATCTAATACATGCCCAACAAAAGCCTGTACTATTTTATATTTGGTTTGCTCTCTTCAAAACTATAATATACCACAATAATTCCACTCTCAAACCAGCCATTAGTCTTTCTTTTTCCTTCTATTATTGTTTTGGTTCCATATAATCCTTTTGATATATTTGATAATGGGAACAAAATTTTATGTGGTTTTTATTACATGTGCATTTGCATGAACTTTGTTTTCTGAAATTTAAGATTTTTCATTGTGGAATCCTGTTAAATTCGTGCATCCGATTAGCAAAAGTGTGGACTAAATTTGACAAAAATTTGGACAGATCAAATTGGAAGCACATTGTTGGATTGGCCAAAGCGCTTCCACATTATTAATGGGATTGCACGGGGGCTTCTTTATCTTCATCAAGATTCCAGGTTGAGAATTATTCACAGAGATCTTAAAGCTAGCAATATTTTGCTAGATATTGCCATGAACCAAAAAATATCAGATTTTGGAATAGCTAGAAGTTTTAGAGGAAATGAGACAAAAGCAAATACAAATAGAGTGGTTGGAACATAGTAAGAATCTCCATAACATGCTTTGTCTAATTCACTTATATTGTTGCTTCAAAATCCAGTTTCTCACTCTTCTTTGTTGCAGCGGCTACATTTCTCCAGAGTATGCAACAAATGGGCTATTTTCGATAAAATCAGATGTATTTAGCTTTGGCGTTTTGGTGCTAGAGATTGTGAGTGGCAAGAAAAACAAAGGTTTCTATCATTCAGGTCACCGCCTCATCCTCCTTGGCCACGTGAGTGTACTAAGATTAGAGGTAATTAATCTTATATGCATGTGTTTCTATAAGGGTCAAGGATCATTTGTCCCTAAATTCTCTTTATCTAAAAAAAATAACACTCAATTAGTACACATTAATATGTGTATGGAAGGAAAAAGATCGGGTATATACCTAATCTTTAGCCTAGTGCACAAAGTAGTTGTCCCGTGACTTGAACCTATAACCTCAAGGTTATTAGGCCAAGATTTTACTATTGAACCAATGGTCACCCCTCCCTAAATTCTCTCTATCTCTTGCTCCAAAACACACACAATCATTGGATCACATGAGAATCTTGTGGTGCAAGTATCTCAAAGCATAATCTAACTATTGTAACTGTCTTAAGAATTGAGAATAGAGAAATTTGGAGATAGAGGACCTATGTCTAATATTGTAGTGGATTGTTCAGGCATAGTCTCTATAAAGAAGGCAGGTCGTTGCAATTGATTGATGATGTTGTATGGGAGTCATGCTACCTAACTGAAGTGTTGCGATCAATCCATGTGGGTCTTTTATGTGTGCAAGAAAGTCCAGAGGATAGGCCAAGCATGTCATCTGTGGTTGTGATGTTAAGCAGTGAAGGTGCATTGCCTCAAGCCAAACAACCTGGCTTCTTCACTGAAAGGAATGTTCTCAAGGCTGGTTTCAAGGAAACAACAATTATGGCTAATGAAATCACCGTTACTATGTTTAATGGTCGATAGAAATTATACCATGTACAAGGTGAATGCTTAATCATTGTTTCTATGATGGGACATGCCAATGGTATCTCCATTCGCTGGTATTCTCATTATTATCTTTAAAGGTGGACTCCACCGAAATAACATGTACTTTTTTCTATATATAAATTTGCCCCATCAATTTGTATAAATTTTCTTAATAATTTTTATGTTTGCATATTATTACTTCTTTGTGTTCTGTAAAAATAAAATAAAATAAATAAAAAGGGTTTAGATACTTTCATCCATGTTCTTCAATTCTTCTATTTATTTATTTTTTTTTTGACAAAAAGAAAAATTATTGATGATAATCATGAAGAGTACACAATACATGCGTTAAAAAAAAAAAAGGAAAAAGGAGTGGGTGAAAAAAGCATTGCAATTAATCTAGAAATCCCAACTAGGTTGGCACCACGGGATTAACCAAATCATCTACTAGCACACCACAAGATGGTGAGGAACCATCCAGAAGACAAGCTAAAAGAAAAAAAAAACAATAGAAAACAAGCCAACACCTAACCAGGGTCCACAGTCAACCTACTACAAAGACAGGCTCTGATGTGTTTAAAGTTGAACAAGAAGTCATTGATTATGAAATGAAAGTCATTGAACTTCAGATTTAACCACAGTGCAATCCTTGTCTTAATTAATTTACAAATCTTAGTCAAGTTGGGAATAGTTGCCTTGAACATGCAGTCATTTCTGAGCTTTCATAATGACCAGAGCACAGCCAAGTGAGTAGCACTCCAAAGTAGCCTCTCTTTCTTCATAACAGTACCCCCAGCCCACCAATTGAGAACTGCTTCCATTAATCCTGGCTTACACCTTGCACATACCACTAGTTAAACAAAGCAATCCAAACTTGCCAGGAGAAGGGATAGAATACAAAACATGGTTTAGAGATTCACACCTAGCCTTACAGAACACACAGAGATGGAGTAAGGCTTGAAGAACTCCAATTCTATGAAGGTGCTCACCAGTCTTGATCCTATTCTTCCAAGCCAACCATCCAAAAAATTGGACCTTTGGGGGATGTGCTTAATCCACACCAGATTACAAGTTTTAAGCTTGGGACTAAGAAAATCCTCTTCAGCTTTATAGGTTGAATACACAGAGTAAATAAATGGAGATGAAGCTGAAGCTGCCCACACAGCTTTATCAGGGTGATTGTTACTAAGAGTAGGTGCAACCACCAAAAGATTATAAAGTCTAATGAGCTCCTGAGCCTCCCACACATAGAGAGATCTTTTGAACAGAAGAACCCACTCCCCTGAGTTGTCTTTTTTCTCGAACATCATTCTCACAAACAGTCTTGGAAATTCTTCTTTAAGGCTTGTGGTACCACACCATCTGTCAGTCCAGAATTTGACTCTATTACCATCCCCAATATTTATTTGAAAATTTGCCAAGAAGAATCCATATAGCCTGTGCCTATGTTTAGCAATTGATATAATTCCTTTTTATACCCTTGAGTAACTATTGCAGGGGCTAAATGATGGGAGCCAACCATCAGAATTCAACTTGTACTTGTTGCAGATGATCCTTCTCTACAGAGCATTCTTTTCACTACCAAACCTCCACCACCACTTTATCAAGAGATAGGCATTATCATCCCTTCCTCTTCTAATGCCTAAGCCTCCTTGATCTACCCTTTTTGTGATATCATCCCATTTAACTAAGTGAATGTTCTTTCTCACATCAGACTCTCCCCATAAAAATGAGACCTGAAGCTTCTTAATTTCCTTGGCTACACCTTCAAGCATCTTGAAGAGAGATAGGTAGTAAATTGGCAAATAAGAGACTACAGATTTAATTAAGGTAAGTCTACCTGCAAAAGACAAGAAACTTCTCTTCCACCCAGCTAGTTTGCTCTTTACATTATCTAAAATAGGTTTCCAAGTTGCTTTCCTATTTGGGTTAGCCCCCTAAAAGCAAGCCAAGATATTTGAGAGGAAGAGATTGAACTTTACAGAGTTTGGAGGCAAAGCTAGACAAGATATCACCGGGCACACCAACACCACATACTACACTTTTGTGGTAGTTGATCCTCAAGCTAGAGATGATTTCAAAACATCTTAGGATCCTTTTGAGGTTCTTCACTTCAGCCAAATTAGTATCACAAAATAATATGGAATCATTAGCAAATTGCAAGGGGGTGAGCTTTACCTCATTACTTCCCACCTTCATACCTTTGATTAGCCCTAAATCCCAATCTTTGGATAAAAGAATGTTAAGCCTTTCAACTGCTATATTAAACAAGAATGGTGATAAGGGTCTCCTTGCCCAAGGCCTCTTTGTGGACTGAATGCTTTAGTTAGAGAACCATTAACTAGGATTGACAGTCTAGCTGATGAAACACATTCTTGAATCCACGCAATCCACTTAGCTTCAAACTCAAAATTTTCCAACATAGAGAGCAAGAATTCCCAATTGATAGAGCCAAAGGCCTTCTCAAAGTCCAGTTTGATGATTACACCCATCCTAAAAAAGCAAATTGGGCTTTACCTATCACCTCTGGTAGCACAGCTTTAAGTTTTCCTGTCGACACCTTAGCTACTATTTTGTATAGTGATCCAACTAGGCTTGTAAGCCTATAATTAGACAAGCCAAGTGGGTTTTGTTTCTGTGGTACCAGTGTGATAAAGGCACTATTGATCCCAGTAACCAGATTGCTATTTCTATGGAAGTCATTCATGAACTGGACCATTTCACCTTTCATAATCTTCCAAAATTTCTAGAAGCAGGCCAAGTTGAAGCCATCTAGACCTGGTGCTTTGTTACCATCACATTCAAACACTACATCCTTGATTTCTTCTTTTGATAAAGCAGTTTCTAATTGATTAGAAGTTGGGCTCCTCCTCACCAATTTGAACTGCCACCAAGCTTAGGTCTTGACTTCCATGACTCTGAAAAGTGGTTCTTGAAATGATTATACACCCCAGACTTGACCTCACTAGGATCCTCTAGCACCACATCTCCCACCTTAATAGAATTAATCTCTTTTCTATTTTGCCTACTTTTGGCCATGATATGAAAAAACCTAGTATTATTATCACCCATTTAAAGCCCAGTTTAACCTAGACTTTTGTAGCCATATCCATTCTACCATCCTACTCAATTTCCCCACTCCGACTCTGATCTCTCTTCTTCTAGCTTTCTCTGTAGCATTTAAGTCCCTCCCTTCAGCCAAGAGCTCAAGGTCATGTAACTCCTTCTTTGCTTGCTTTAGTTTGTGAGTAACATTTCCAAAGACTTCTCTACTCCATTGTTTTAGAGCTAATTTCAAAGCCTACAAGGAGTATAAAACCAGCCCATCCCACCACTACTGATTCATTCCATGGCTTTTCTAAAAAGGAAGGGAACGTTGCATGTAGAGTCCAAGCATTTAGGAACCTAAAAGGCTTAGGGGCCTAATCTCTTTCATCCTCCATTAACAATAGAGGGCAGTGATCAGATATGATTCTAGGTAATCCCCATAGTTTCATATTGAATTTCTGCACCCATTCTGGATTTAGTAAGAATCTATCAATTTCGCTCCATTTCTCTCTCTCCATTGGATTGCACCATGTAAATATCCTACCTAATAATGGCAGATCAATTACTTCACGCTTATCAATAAAATCATTAATTTCCTTCATCGCTCTATCCCTTCTAGAGCAACCCCTCCTTTCACTTATATTTCTGATTTCATTAAAGTCACCACCGAAGCACCAAGGTTTTGGAAATTCCTTCTTTAAATTAATCAAACAGTTTCAAAACTCACCTGTACTACTCACCTCATTAGGAGCATAGACATTTAAGATGGCACATTCAAATGAGTTAAAAAGAGTACCTGATATTAGTGTGAACCTTCTACTGTTGCAACATTCAAATAATTGTAGTACCTTTAGATCCCATACGCACAGCAGGCCTCCAGCTGAGCCTTCAGAATCCGCAACCATGTATTCCATCTTGTTCCTTGACCATAGTGATCTCCTTTTCAGAGATAGAGGCTTTCTTTGTCTCCTGAAGCATAGTAATGTCTGTATTTTTTTCCTTCAATGGCTTTCTTATTTAGCCTCTCTTTTCTTTCCTCCCTAACCCTCTTACATTCCAAGATAATATCTTCATAATAACTTGATTAACACCCTTACACCCCCAGCAGCTTCCTTTACACAGCTGTCCAAGTTCTCCTTCAATCATCTGCTTATCTTTCAACTCAAGATCCACTATTTTGCTGACAATCTCAGCTTCTTTCCCATTGAGTTGTAGGTTCAAAATTCTTCCAATCTGTAGTGTAGCTTGTGCTCCGTTAAGAATGAGTCTACCTCTGTTAGTTCCACTACTTGTTGAAGTAAAAAATGATAGTGCTGCCACTGCTACTCTATAAATTGTATTTCTTGGACCTGGATTGCTTGTTGATGCCCCTTTGTGCCCATATCTTCTTGCTAGGTCAATGTTGCTTTTGTCCAGAATTTGATGCTTTCCTCTTTCTTTGTTGCTTACTTTGTTTCTTTCCTTTGTTCTTCTGGTTGGAACACTTTTTCATATTGACCTTCTTCTCCTTTCAATTCATCTTATTGCTATGATTTTTTTTTTTCTGTTCAAAAAAAAAAAATTCGATCACATCCTCCGCATCCTCATCTTTACTTTGGTGCACCTAGGCTTCAAGTTGTGCTTCCATATGATGCAGGCCTAAAAGTTCAATACTTGGAGGATTCAGTCCATCTGAGTTTGTTCTACCCTAATTAACGCCATTCATTAGGCTTGCGAATTGAGCTTGGTCCAGAACAACTTCTGGTTTAATATTGGGCCTTGATAGCCCGTTACCACTCAAACTCTTGATCAGTCCACCTTGGTCCATATTGTTCTTATCTTTTTGACTTTCACTGGCAATGCAATCAACTGAGGTGTTCAGCATGCTTCCCTTGAGCCTCGTGCACTAACCCTCTTCTATTCTAGTTCCCATGATGCTGCAGGTCTCGTTTACTACAAATATAGCAAAA